TTTGTGACTGCAGGAATTCATACTCTTTGGTTTATTCGGTAAAGTAAGTAGTTAGAAATAAAATAAATTACGACGTTTCGATCGCAATACAAGCGGTCGTCATCAGGCAAAGGAGTCGGCCTCTAAAGGCAGACAGTTTATAAGGGTTTGGGATGGGTGTTGCCCAAGTGTATCAGCAGCACCAGGAGCATTGGTGGTACACAAGTGCCAATGCAGCAAAAATGCCAATGCAGAAACAATGCCAATGCAGCAGCAATGCGAATGTAGCAGCAATGTGAATGCAGCAACAATGCCAATGCAGTGGGTGAGAGAGCTGCCGTGGCAAGAGGTTACATAGGTAAGAAAGGGGGGAGGAGCAAGGGGGGAGAGAGAGAGGGGGGGGGGGTGTAGGAAGATGGGGGGGGGGGCGTGAGCGCTAAGGGGATAGAGGACGTGAAGCCTGGGGGGGGGGAGGGAAGTGGGCGGGGATGCAAGTGGGAGGCTGGGAACGCTGGGAATGCGGGGGGGGGGGGGGAAATAACTCGGAAAAAATAGACGAGTACCCGGCAGATATGATGGAACAACCATAAACAATTAAGGTTTTACCTGGTTAATAACATCCTTCCAATGATTGCTCAATTTGTATCCATCTTCTCGGTTAAAGTTATGTCTATGTTTATATATCTGAATGGCTTCATGAACAAACCTTTGATAGTAGCCCGAAGGTTTGCAGAGTACCTTGGTTTCAGAAAAAACTATATCATGCGAGCCCACAGCGTTATAACAATGGTCAACCATGGCAGAGGTATTGGTTCTGCCGTGTTTCAGATCTCCCTTGTGTTCGCGCACACGGTCCGAGACATGTCGTTTTGTTTTCTCAATGTAGCTGCTACCGCAGGTACAAATCAGTTTGTAGACTCCAGATGGGATTAGATCATGGATTAAGAAGGTACTCCACATCGGCCAATCGTCTCCACTATCAACTCACCTACCTACAAACTGGCCCGTTTTCTGTCTGATACCTTGCTTTCATTCATGGGCAAGACTACCTTAGTAGTACATAACAGCTCACTTGGTCTCTCTAATCAAGGGCATTTCACTGTCCCCAGATGATTTGCTCATCAGCTTTGATGTAGTTTCTCTGTTGTTCAAGGTTCCTGTACCTGACACTTTAGCAATAATTGAAGATTTAGTCCAACATGGACTGAATCTTGATGTACCTACTCTGGTTAGGCACTGCCTTACCAACACTTACTTCACTTGAAATGGTACTTTTTACAAACAAAATGAAGGTACCCCCATGGGTTCCCCCTCATCACCAGTGATAGCGAATGTTTTCATGGAGAAATTTGAAACAGATGACATCCAGACATCCACCCTATGTCCTTCCTTGTGGAAGAGATATGTAGATGACACTTTCGTCATTTCGCCACATCAATTCCATACACCCATCCGTCAAATTCACCATGGTAGTGGAGAAGGATGGTAAGCTACCATTCCTGGATGTTTTGTTTGAGAAGAGACCTGACGGCTCGTTGGGACACTGTCTACAGGAAAGCCACCCACACATATTCCTATCTGAAACCTGATTCCCACCACCATCCGGCACAGAATAATTCCCTCATCAAAACACTACACCATAGGGCCCACTGCATTTCCGACCAACACCACCTAGCCAGTGAACTGGAACACGTACACCAGGCCCTCAAGATGAATGGGTACTCGGATCGCATTATTCGCATAGCTGTTTCTCCAACCATGAAGAAACAACCCCCTGATAAGCTAATCAAAACCATCACATTACCATACATAGCAGGTGTTACCAAAAAGATTTCCAAAATTTTAAGCAAACACAAGATCTAGGTCCGATTCAATACAGTACACAAAATCCGTGATCTAATCCCATCTGGAGTCTACAAACTGAGTTGTACCTGCGGTAGCAGTTACATTGGGGAAACGAAACGACATGTCTCGGACCGTGTTCGCGAACACAAGGCAGATCTGAAACACATCAGAACCAATACCTCTGCCGTGGGTGAACATTGTTATAACGTTGTGGGCTCACATGATATAGTTTTTTTCCGAGACCAAGGTACTCTGCAAACCTTCGGGCTACTATCAAAGGTTTGTTCATGAAGCCATCCAGATATATAAACATAGACATAACTTTAACTGAGAAGATGGATACAAATTGAGCAATCATTGGAAGGATGTTATTAACCAGGTAAAACCTTAATTGTTCATGGTTGTTCTATCATATCTGCCGGGTACTAGTCTATTTTTCGGAGTTATTTCCCCCCCGCATCCCCAGCGTTCCCAGCCTCCCACCCACTTCCCCCAAGCTTCACGTCCTCTCTCCCCTTAACGGTAATGCAGCGCCCCCTCATACCCCTATCCCCCCTCTCTCTCTCCCCACTTGCTCCTCTACTCTTTCTTACCAATATAACATCTTGCCATAGCAGCTCTCTCGCCCACTACATTGGCATTGTTGCTGCATTGGCATTGTTGCTGCATTGGCATTGTTGCTTCATTGGCACTCGTGCACCGCCCATGCTCCTGGTGCTGTTGATACACTTAGGCTACGCTCATCCCAAACCCTTATAAACTGTCTGCGTTTAGAGGCTGACTCCTTTGCCTGATGACGACCGCTTGTGTTGCGATCGAAACGTCGTGATTTATTTTATTTTATTTCTAATTACGTGACTTTACCAAAAGAACCAAAGACCAATTAGTAAAGTTTGTCACATGAACAAAAAGTGCCAATTCGTTTCTCCTTTAGCACACTGATGTGTTGGAATAACCCAAAAAAACCTTTATTATGGATAATATTAGTTGTGAAAGTCTAGGTGTTAAATCCTCTACACTCCTAACCCCTAAACCTCAATACCCTATAAACCTCTAACCCTCAAAACCCCTAAACTTCGAAAACCCAAATCTCCTAAACCCCAAACATCTAAATCCCTAAACTTATAACCTTCTAAAATCCAAACCCCCCAAACCAATAAACATCTAACAATCAAAACCCATACACTCTCTAAACTTCTTAAACACCTAACTCTCTAAACTCATAATCTTCTAAACCCTAACCCAATTAACTCCTAACCCTCTAAACCCCTCACCCTCGAAGCACCTATACCATAAAACCCTAAACCTCTGAACCCCGAAACTAAACCCCTAAAAAAACCCTAAACTCTAAAACCTATAACCTTCTAAATTTCTAACTCTCTAAACCACTAAACCTCTACATATCGAAACCCATAAAGCCTCTAAACCTTTAAACACCTAACTATTTAAATCTCTTAACCCATAATATTCTAAACCCTAACCTTCTAAAACCCTAACCCTCTGAACCCCTAACTCTTTAAGTCCCTAAACCCCTAAAACAATAGCCATCTAAACACCTAAACCTCTAAACCCCTTACCCTTTAAAACCCTCCCTCTAAACCCTTAAACCAATCATCCTCTAAACCTGTCAACCCATAAACTTAGTCCAATAAGTATCGAACCCTCTAAACTTCCAACCCTCTAAACCCATCACCCTCTAAAGCCCTATAGCCCTAAATCCCTATACCCCTAAACCCCTAACCCTCTTAAACCACTAACCCTCTGTGTGGAGTATGTTGGGTAGTGGGTATCACGCTGTGGGTGGGTGCAGGGTGTGTGTGGTGGGTGGAGGGTATCACAGGGTGGGTGCAGGGTGTGGGTGGTGGGTGGAGGGTGTGGGTGGTGGGTGGAGGGTATCACGGACTGGGTGGGTGCAGGGTGTGTGTGGTGGGTGCAGGGTGAGTGTGGTGGGTGCAGGGTGAGTGTGGTGGGTGCAGGGTGTGGGTGGTGAGTGGAGGGTTTCACAGGGTGGGTGGGTGCAGGGTGTGGGTGGTGGGTGGAGGGTATCACGGACTGGGTGGGTGCAGGGTGTGTGTGGTGGGTGCAGGGTGTGTGTGGTGGGTGCAGGGTGTGTGTGGTGAGTGGAGGGTTTCACAGGGTGGGTGGGTGCAGGGTGTGGGTGGTGGGTGGAGGGTTTCACAGGGTGGGTGAGTGCAGGGTGTGTGTGGTGGGTGCAGGGTGTGTGTGGTGGGTGCAGGGTGTGTGTGGTGGGTGCAGGGTGTGTGTGGTGGGTGCAGGGTGTGTGTGGTGAGTGGAGGGTTTCACAGGGTGGGTGGATGCAGGGTGTGGGTGGTGGGTGCAGGGTGTGTGTGGTGGGTGCAGGGTGTGTGTGGTGAGTGGAGGGTATCACAGGGTGGGTGGGTGCAGGGTGTGTGTGGTGGGTGCAGGGTGTGTGTGGTGGGTGCAGGGTGTGTGTGGTGAGTGGAGGGTTTCACAGGGTGGGTGGATGCAGGGTGTGGGTGGTGGGTGCAGGGTGTGTGTGGTGGGTGCAGGGTGTGTGTGGTGAGTGGAGGGTATCACAGGGTGGGTGGGTGCAGGGTGTGTGTGGTGAGTGGAGGGTATCACAGGGTGGGTGGATGCAGGGTGAGTGTGGTGGGTGCAGGGTGTGTGTGGTGGATGCGGGTTATCACTGACTGGGTGGGTGCAGGGTGTGTGTGGTGGGTGCAGGGTGAGTCTGGTGGATGCAGGGTGTGCGTGGTGGATGCAGGGTGTGTGTGGTGGATGCGGGTTATCACTGACTGGGTGGGTGCAGGGTGTGTGTGGTGGGTGCAGGGTGAGTCTGGTGGGTGCAGGGTGAGTGTGGTGGATGCAGGGTGTGTGTGGTGGGTGCAGGGTGTGTGTGGTGGGTGGAGGGTATCACAGGGTGGGTGGATGCAGGGTGAGTCTGGTGGATGCAGGGTGTGCGTGGTGGATGCAGGGTGTGTGTGGTGGGTGGAGGGTATCACAGGGTGGGTGGGTGCAGGGTGAGTCTGGTGGATGCAGGGTGTGCGTGGTGGATGCAGGGTGTGTGTGGTGGGTGCAGGATGTGCGTGGTGGGTGCAGGGTGTGTGTGGTGGGTGCAGGGTATCACAGGGTGGTGGGTGCAGGGTGAGTGTGGTGGGTGCAGGGTGTGGGTGGTGGGTGGAGGGTATCACAGGGTGGGTGGATGCAGGGTGTGGGTGGTGGGTGCAGGGTGAGTGTGGTGGGTGCAGGGTGTGTGTGGTGGATGCGGGTTATCACTGACTGGGTGGGTGCAGGGTGTGTGTGGTGGGTGCAGGGTGAGTCTGGTGGGTGCAGGGTGAGTGTGGTGGATGCAGGGTGTGTGTGGTGGGTGCGGGGTATCAAGGACTGGGTGGGTGCAAGGTGTGGGTGGTGGGTGCAGGGTATCACAGGGTGGTTGGGTGCAGGGTGAGTGTTTTGAGTGTGGTGAAAGTCGTCAGGGTTCACACCAATCCACCACCTCTACCACCCCTACTGTGCAGTGGACCGGCCACCACAAAGCAGCACACGTCGGAGGAGTGAGCGGATGGCTCTCCCTATGCGGGCCAGGCTCCCTTGCTTCCTCTTCTCCTGCTGTACCATCAACTCCTCCACCAGGGTCTCCTGTACCACCAACTCCTCCACCAGGGTCTCCTCAAGTACTACCAACTTCTCCACCAGAGTCTCCTGTACCACCAACTCCTCCACCAGCGTCTCCTCAAGTACCACCAACTCCTCCACCAGAGTCTCCTGTACCACCAACTCCTCCACCAGAGTCTCCTGTACCACCAACTCCTCCAACAGGGTCTCCTTCTGTATCTCCAACTCCTCCACCAGCGTCTCCTGTACCACAAACTCCTCCACTAGGGTCTCCTGTACCACCAACTCCTCTACCAGCGTCTCCTCAAGTACCACCAACTCCTCCACCAGAGTCTCCTGTACCACCAACTCCTCCACCAGAGTCTCCTGTACCACCAACTCCTCCACCAGCGTCTCCTGTACCACCAACTCCTCCACCAGCGTCTCCTGTACCATCAACTCCTCCACCAGCGTCTCCTCAAGTACCACAAACTCCTCCACCAGCGTCTCCTCCTGTACCACCAACTCCTCCACCAGGGTCTCCTCCTGTACCACCAACTCCTCCACCAGAGTCTCCTCTTGTACCACCAACTCCTCCACCAGAGTCTCCTCCTCCTCCAGCACCACCAGCTCCTCCACCATGGTCTCTTCTTCCTCCACAACCTTCAACTTCTCTTTAGAGGCCTGGGCGAGCAAGGAGGATGGGCGCTGTGCCGGCTCCACTCTGTGAAGAGATGCGCACGACACCGTTCCAACTTCCTGCTCCAGCAGAAATCAGTCCCCCCCATCCCCCCCATCGTCTATGGGTGGACTAACTGTGTGCCGCAGAAGATTAACCCAGCTAATTAACAGTGCCGCAATAATGCAGCATACCTTTGCCCACCGTGAGTCTGGTTACAAAATGGGCATTAGTCTGGCGGTGTCTCAGTGGATGAAGGGCAACTTGGGAAAGATGTTGCCGCTTCATTATCTGTCCTCACCCAGAAACCAATTATGGAAAAATAAATCCGTATATAACCGAATCTACACGTTCTCTTTGGCTGGAACTCACAGCCAGAGAGGACCTGGGTTTGATTCCCATACGTGGGCCACTTTTTCCGTGTGGAATGTGGAGTGTGTTCTACCAACCACCCTACCCTGCCTGCCCCCCCCCCCCCCTGCATGGGTTCCCAGAATCAGAATCTTTCTTTAAACTGGATGAAGAGGAGTCTGATGAGCTATGAAGCTCTTCTTTCACAGATGTCCAGTCAAGTCACAGGGTCAGCAGGTTATAACAACAAACAAAACAAAAGGAGTCCAAAGTATACCAAAAAAAGCGTATAAATACAAATGGCTTAAGTAAATAAAATCCTGTCAGTTTTTCAACACTAAATGCAAGCTTGTGCAACGCAGTGAAACAGCAACAAAAACAGCCTCACACCACACCAAGACAACACAATCCTTCAATAAAATTGCAAATTAAAATTTCACTTCCATTCCTCTGGGTTTGGCAACTGAACCCTCACAAACACGCTGTGCAACCAGTGTTGGATGGACATCTCCACCAGTGTTGTAAATTGAACCTCCAAATAACTCAATTGGGATCGTACAGTAGCAGTACATTTGTTCTGTACTGCAAAATACTTGGCAGGACCCTCCTGAAAAAAGTATTGAGACTGAGTGAGGCTATTGCTGGCTAAATAAGCGTAGAAGTAGTAGCAATGAAGATAACTAGATATTAAACACACACACACACAGGAGCAGAGTCGTCCCCCGGGTACGGTGTACAGGGGGTGACCACCCCGGGCCCCGCGCTTTGGGGGGCCCTGCGGTTCGATGTCACGGTGTCAGGCGTAATACTTCCGTTTAACACGTAGGCTATCGCTCCAGATTGGCTCACAAGTGATGACATCACATTTATCACTCTATTTAAGACCGAAAGAGGAGGATTTCTCCACGATTCGTAAGCCCACACGGTGTAACTTGCTCCAGGCCCCGCACCCCCCTATAGACTGCCATGACCACTGGACAAGCAGATGGTGGCTTACCGTCGCTCAGCAGCTCCAGAGTGCTTCACACTGCCAGGAGCAGCAGCGGTGGTGGTGGTGGCTTTGCTGGCCGTGGTGGTGCTGGTGGCCGCAGTCCGGAGCCAGTTATGAGCCAGCGCCTGCACTGGCGTCATACGACAATTCGGATCCCATCTGTTGAGAGATGCACGGGGGACACACGCGGCCACGTGGTGAGAGAGGCATGGTGAGAGCTTTGATGTTCCTTCCCTTCTCCCACGAGGTCCAGGAATGCACAGCAGCAGCGGAAGCCACAGTAGCAGTGGCAGTCCTCTGATGCCCAGCAGCGGCTTGGACAGACCTCCCACTCCTCTACAGAGGGCTAACTCCACAGAGGGCCAGTGGTACCGCTTATTGGCAGGTCCACTCAGCTCCACATCTTCCTGGTGATCGGTGGAGAGCGGTCGCCAATCAATTGGAGGGGGGAATCCTCGTGGGGAGGGGGTGGGAGTGGTGGGTGGTTCTTACCGCAAACAGGAGCTGATGAATTCGACAAACTCCGGGTCATCGCTTTTGAGCACCCTGTGAAGTGGGAAGCTCCCCGGAACCCTTTTCTTGCCTGGGCAGAACATCTTCCCCCGATGGTCTGCAGGATCCATGCACAGCGGAAGAGACGAAGTCACCAACCACCACATCGCCCATCTACCCACTTACTGACCGATTCATCAACCCACTCATCCACCTACCCACCCATACACTCTTCCACCTACCCAATCGCTCACTCACCTATCCACCTACCCACTCACCCACCCACTCATCTACCCACCCACCCACCCTCTCGCTGACCCACTCACCCAACCACTCACCCATTCGCCCAATTACCCACCAACCTACTCGCCTACTCACCCACATACCCATCCACTTGCCCACACACCCATTTACCCACCCACATACCCAAGTAATGTAAAATACAAAGACGCCCCCTCCAAAACAAAATAACAACAGCCTGAGGCCACACCCTAAAACTGAATCCGGTCTGTCATTCACCCCACGCTTCAACTCACCAAAGAACTGCGTTCTGTCGGGTGCTCCATTCACCATGTACCTTGGAGGCATCCCCAGAATCTGCACATGGTTGACATGAAGACAAAGGTCACCCGTATAGCTTCGGCACACTGTCGGGACAAGTGCTGTTAGATCGAGTAGCAAAATTAGCAGCGTTTGTTGAGGGCCAGCACTGTGGCACAGAGAGACAGGAGTGGCGGCTGATTTCAGCCGCATCATCTCTACATAACAAAAAGGCTCAGTCCCTTTAACACGCACCTTTACATCATCCGCACCTAGTTTACACAACAAAGGCTCATTCCTAACAGCGTGCTTCAGCCGCACCGAACCTCACAAAAATAATATTCAGGGACTACCTTGGCTCCTCCCACCCTCAACCAGTATATATACAAGGACTGTTTCTTGGAATTTCTCTCACTTGATACAGCTATCGTGCTGTGAATGTTCCACCTGAAGACGGAAGCTTGTGTTGCCTCCGAAACGTCGTGATTTTTATTTTATTTTTACTTTCATTATTTTTTTATTTTTTACCTACGTGATTACCGAAAAAACCTAAGAATGTGAATCCTTGCAGTCACGAAAGCTTCAAATCTAGAATTAACCCAGGTACTTTACACACTCCACCAGGTACTCATTTGAGGCTGACTCGAACTAGAGGAGGCCCAGGACCAGTTCAGACAATCGTCACTGGTGTTGCCCATGAGCTGGAATCAAACTCGGTTTCTAGCACAGCAGGCTGACCGCTACGCTACCGCTCCCCCACACAAACAAGACACACACGTGTACACGCAACATACGACGGCCGGTATTCACAGATCACCAATTGGCCACCCCCCCTCCTGCCACCCCCATAGCCCACGACTCCAAGGAGAGAGAGGGAGATCACGAGCGGACAGACGCCGTGTGGGAAATACCTCTATGCAGCGCGGGAGGTGATCTTCGTGGCTGTTGGACCGGAATAATTCCCTGCCCGTCGCCAACTCCGCCACCGTGCAGCCCAGCGCCCACATATCCACTCCACATGTCAAGCTATAGCCCAGCAACAGCTCCGGAGCCAAGTATTCTAGGGTGCCACCAACATTCATAGCTGTACAAAAATCACAAGGACAACAAACATATGTGCGTGTGTACACACTGTGTCTTAAACAGCATCATCATCATGCACATAAACAGTCACATTTACAGACACTCAGATACTCACACACAGACACACTCAGACAGACACTGACATATAGACACTCACACGGACGCAGCGAGACCCATGCATAAAGACAGCCATACAGACACCCACACGCAGACACTCACACACCCAGGTGAGGTCACTCACGTTGACTTTCCACGAAAAAGCTCGTGCCAAAGTCCGTGATCCTCACGGTGCCAGTCACGGTGTCTTTGACGAGAACATTTTCCTGGAGGAGGGGTAGAATGAATTCAAACTCAGAGGTTATGCCGATATCATTCAGCCAGCAGTGGATCAATCACATACCACGACACACGCTAAACAGGGGTACTAGATGAGGCATAGCGCTGTCGACAAGCGTCAGTCAAGAGCAATATTCGCTGTTTTATGACAGCTGTCACTGGGCGGTGCCCCTTTCAAATGTGTCAAAATTAAATTTCGATTTAAAGCTTTCGTGACTGCAGGGATTCATCTTCTTGGTTCTTTCGGTAAAGTCATCACGTAGAAGGGAAGTAATAAAATAATAAAAATTCAACAATAAAACAATTCTCATGACGTTTCGGCCACAACGCAAGCAGCCGTCCTCAGGTGACCTGGTTTTCACCTCAGGACGGCTGCTTGCGTTGTCGCCGAAACCTGGTTTTCACCTGAGGACGGCTGCTTGCGTTGTGGCCGAAACGTCGTGAGAATTGTTTTATTATGTTTTATTTTTATTATTTTATTACTTCCCTTCTACGTGACTTTACCGAACGAACCAAGAAGATGCGTCGAAATTGTAGATGTGAGTAGAGGCGTGTCACGTTCAAAGCACTCTCAGGCACCATCAGATTAAAGGGGGGTGGCTCTATTGACAACCGATTGCCGTTGCTCCAACAGGAGAGCTGCATGGAGCTCACAGCTGGATGAGTGCCCGTTAACGAGTTACAGACAAAAAGCCACGCACAAGAGAGTGCACGGATTCCGTGACGCTTTCCACTGCACCTTTGTCTTTGGACGTTTTCAATTTGCAGATTGGAATTCGATAACGAGCAGTTGTCAGGCCAAAATGCACATTTCGCACGTTTTAAAAAAAAGTTCTGTTTGACTCCGTTTCGTGTCTCCCAGGGTTTGGGGCAACTCTGATCAACGTTGCCGGTTTTCTCTCTGGTGAGTCCCCAAGAGCGACACGACTCTACACGATAGTTTAATTCATACCAGATCACATTCACCAGAGGAGCATGGCCCTGCCTCCTTCCAGTGAGATGGGCAGAGCTAACATATCGACCCTGTGACCAACATGGCCGGTTTTCTCTGTGGAACAAGTCCCCAATAAAGATACACCTCTGCACCAAAGTGAAAGCTGAACGCTGTGTCCACTCACAGGCTTGATGTCCGCGTGGACGATTTTCCTGGAATTGATGTGGCGCAAGAACTTGAGGATGCCCCTGGTGTAGGTTTTCACCATCGCCATGTCCAGCCGCCGGAGCCCCGCATTTCTAATCACTTCATGAAGGCTCTCCCTGTGAGAGAGGCAGAAGCAGCAACAAAAACACAGCATCAGTACCATCCGCTACAATGCTGCACTGATTCTGATAACGATAATCATGTTCATATTGTACGTTCATGTGCCAATATTAAGAGTTATAGTGTGGGTTGAGGTAGTCAATTTGCCCATAAACCAAATCAGTTGGCATATCTGCCCACTTGACAACTTGATTTTATTGGCTTTGTTGCCGGGTGGTCGAGGGTTATCCATTGGGAGAAGATAAAAACTCCACACAGAACAGAAGCTCGGGATTTTCGCCGAGAGGCACAAGCATCACCACTGCCATGCAGCCACCCTGCTGATTGAGTGGAGGCGTGGGTTGGTGAAAGTGGCAGGGCTAATGGAGAAAAGACAAGTGGCCTCCAATGCACCCGTGGCACATGGCAGCTCCACAGGATTACAATGCAGGGGTGGTGGCGTGGGCATCTCAACATTAACAGCTTACTCTTTGGTTCTTTCGGTAAAGTCACGTATAAAGATAAAATAATAAATTAAATAATAGCATACGACGTTTCGATTGCAACACAAGCAATCATCATCAGGTATAAATGAAATGAAATAGCAACAAAAATCTAACCAGAAAACTATAGACAGACATATAAGCAGACAGATATCACCAAGATACATATGTCTGTCTAGTTTTCTGGTTCGATTTTAGTTGCTATTTCATTTATACCTGATGATGATTGCTTGTGTTGCAATCGAAACGTCGTATGCTGTTATTTAATTTATTATTTTATCTTTATACGTGGCTTTACCGAAAGAACCAAAGAGTAATTCCTGCAGTCACGAAAGCTCCAAAATTAAGAATTAACAGCTTGCCGCGGTGGCGAGATGACATCTCCCCCGCCTGGTATGGAGGAGGTCCTAGGTTTGATCCCGACCGTGATGCCTGTACATTTGGAGTTTGCATGTTCTCCCCGTGGGTACGTGGATTTTTCTGTGGGTCCACTCGTTTTCTCCTCCACATTTATAATCAAAATGCTACTTTTCGATTTAAAGCTTTTGTGACTGCAGGGATTCATCTTCTTGGTTCTTTCGGTAAAGTCACGTAGAATGGAAATAATAAAATAATAAAAATAAAACATAATAAAATAATTCTCACGACGTTTCGGCCACAACGCAAGCAGCCGTCCTCAGGTGAAGAACAGGTCTGTCGGGGAGACAGAGTCTGTCTACGTGACTTTACCGAAATAACCAGGAACAAAAATGCTACTTTGTTAAGCTTTTATTTGTGGTCTGGTCGCTTCTAAAAAATAACGAAAGTTTGTTAAGTTAGTTAACCACGTTATTGGCGGAGGGGGGGGGGGGCATGCAGTACATACTTCAACAGCTCCATGACGATACAGTAGTGTCCTCTGAAATGAAATATGTTCAGGACTTTGATGACGTTGAAATCTTCATCACTGCCCTCGTCCTGAAGTTCCAGAGCTATCTGGAGCTCCATCTTCTGGTATGTTTCTTGCTTGGAGCTGCACAGAGGAAGTCCACAAATGAAGAGCCTACATTTTCTTTAGGGATATCCAGAGCCAAATTCTACTCACAATAAAATAATTCAATATGAATTCACCAGGTCTAACAGCACCAGGGGTTCCAGTAGCACACTCGACTATCATTGGTGAGGAGCTCCCACAGAGGGAGCAGGAGCCGACGTAGGGCACCCAATAGGATTTGGAAGTGAAGAACCATTCAAATCGGATTGGTCATTTGAGAAATCTAAATGCAAACGCATGTTAACACAACGCATTCTCACTTCAATATGCCTCTTCCATTCGGGCACACTTTTCGCATAACGCGGAATGTGCCCGTAATAACACGAACGCGCCCATTGCAACACGGAACGCTTCTCATAACGTAGAACACGCCTGTTAAAGCACGGAACCCGCCCGTTATAACACGATCTGTGAGTAGTCGACAACAAACTACTTTCTTGAGCTGCAATGATACATTACTCGCAATGATAAAGTAACGTGACGGCATACCCTCAGTTATTTGTCTCGTCATCTCAAGGTGTATGAGTGCATTGTATCTCGCCAAACATTATTATTACATTATTTATGGGGAAATTACTTTCGCTCAATACTTTTTTGCTGAACGCGGAACTTTTCAGGAATGTATCTACAGCATTAAATGAGGAATTCCCGTAATGTGCAGGTAATCTTTCAGCAATGGGATGTTTTGCCCCAATATTAGTTTACACTGTGTGTGTGTATTTTAAGCTTTAGGAAGGAAAAATCTGAGAACCCAGAAGGAACTGATGCAGAACAGGGGTAGAACATGCAAACTCCATACAGCAGAGCACCCGAATCAGGAGTCGAACCCAGGCCCCCCTTCTCGCTTTGATGTACGAGTGTCACCGCTGCATCGCACGGCTGCCCATGGCAACGGACTTAACAACAATATCGGCCTCGTGACGGTGCGGCTCTGAAGTCTTACCTCGATGGTGACACCAGGATCTTGATGGCCACCAGGATGTTCCTTTTGTGATCAAGGCACTGGATCACCTGGCCTTGACCTCCTTCTCCAATCTTCTTCAGCACCTCATAGCGATAGCGGAGGTGCTCATGCCGGAACTGCACAAAAGGTACAATCGTTTAAAGTGAATATAATTAAAATCACAAAGTTTAAGAAGCGAGAATGTATATTCTTTGGAATATGCAAATTCCTTTGTCAAGGCGCTCTTCCCCCTCTAACCCAGATTAAATATACGCTGCCAAGCCTGGTGGTGTTTCATTCAGACGCTGTCTTTCTGACAGACCTGTTCTTCACCTGAGAACGGCTGTTTGCGTTGTGGCCGAAACGTCGTGAGAATTATTTTATTATGTTTTATTTTTATTATTTTATTATTTCCCTTCTACGTGACTTTCCCGAAAGAACCAAGAAGATCTTTCGGTAAAGTCACGTACATAGATTGAAAGAAAATAACAAAAAACAATCACGGGTTGCCGGGTGAAAATGATCATGTTAATGACAGTTTAGTATGTTAATGGGATATTGCAGAGCCACAACCGAGGGGTCGGCACTCAAAGTGGCTGTGTTAGTGTGAAAGCGCAAGTTTGAAATGGGCAAAAAGCACAACTATCATCAGAAGGTGGTAGGATGGGAAGATCACAGCCAGTTATGACTTAAACTGGTTGATAATGTCCTTCCAATGATTACTCAGTTTGCACCCATCTTCTCGGTTTAAATTGTGTCTGTGTCGATTAAAATGGATGGCTTCATGAATGAATCTTTGTTGATAGCCAGTGGGCTTGCAAAGTACCTTCGTCTTAGAGAAATACATTTCATGTGAGCCCACCGCATTAAAACAATGATCAGCCACGGCTGAGGTATTGGTCCTACAGTGTTTCAGATCCTACCTAGTTTCGGATTTGACTTATGTTCACGAACATCAGGCAGATCTGAAACTGTCGGGTTTGCTGTCCACCACTTGCATTAATATTGGCTGCTGACATTTGGGCAATGCCCATTTCAAACCCTAATAAACAGTTTGCCTTTGGAAGCAAACCCCCCTTTTCCTGAAGTCGACCGATTTTGTTGCGATTGAAACGTTGTAGTTTTAGTTTTTTGTTATTTTCTTTGAACCTATCTACGTGACTTTACCGAAAGACCCAAAAAATATTAATTCCTGCAGTCACGAAAGCTTTAAGTCAAGATTTAAGTGAGAATGTAATTTTCTAATATATTTTCTGTAATGATTACGTTTTTTTAAATCTGTCATTGTGGAATGTTCTGATTTCTGCTGGCTCAGTCACCCTTCAAAATAGAGCTTCTTAGCTCAATGGGATTTACTCGCAATAAAAAATGCTGATTCTGAAGTACATTGGTGTGTGTGATAGCCCTGGTTGGTACTTCAGGTGCAATAACAAGAAGCCACAAACCATGCTACCGATGGGCCCTGTGACTGCCCCCACAGCTGGTGTTTTGTTGCGAGCCTCACCAGAATGTAATTTCGTTCGTAGTCGTCGTATCCATCATTGTTGAATCCCTGAGATTTGTTGAAAAGTGCAAAGTACCACACTTCCTGCATGGCTGCGAGTTCTAGCTTCTCACGGTTGGTCAAGTGAGGGCCAAAGAGAGCCAGGATTTCTGCAGACATGAGAATAACAACATCTGTGTGATCGCAAACTTGAGCAATTTGTAGGAAAATATTACAGGATTGGGATGTTTTGGCCAATACCAGTTATGTCTGTATGTATGTTGAACTTCTTTTGCACCGTACGTAGGCAATGGTGCCAAATGGATACGCGGGGGAAGGAAAATTATTCTAAACATGAAAAGTTCTAAAGAAAGTAGTTTTCAATCTAGATGATTTAAAAGTGTATAGCTCCAGTGGCTTCCTAATATCGGAAGTGCATCTGAAAGCGTGTGATGTGCTGAGGCCAGAGCACACATAATCACCCCCATGCAACATGGCCACCATGATGCAGTCCCCCATGCAACATGGCTACCATTAAGTTCCGCATGCAACACTGCCAACATGAAGTCCCCCATGCAACATGGCTACCTAGATATCACCCATGCATCATGGCCGCTATGAAATCTCCAATGCATCACGGCCACTGACATCCACCATGCAACATGGCCGCTATGAAATCTCCAATGCATCACGGCCACTGTGACATCCACCATGCAACATGGCCGCTATGAAATCTCCAATGCATCACGGTCACTGTGACATCCACAATGTAACATGGCCGCTATGACATCTCCAATGCATCACGGCCACTGTGACATTCACCATGCATCATGGCCGCTATGAAATCTCCAATGCATCACGGCCACTGTGACATCCACCATGTAACATGGCCGCTATGAAATCTCCAATGCATCACGGTCACTGTGACATGCACCATGTAACATGGCCGCTATGAAATCTCCAATGCATCACGACCACTGTGACATCCACCATGCAACATGGCCACTATGAAATCTCCAATGCATCACGACCACTGTGACATCCACCATGTATCATGGCCGCTATGAAATCTCCAATGCATCACGGTCACTGTGACATCCACCATGTAACATGGCCGCTATGACATCTCCAATGCATCACGGCCACTGTGACATGCACCATGCATCATGGCCGCTATGAAATCTCCAATGCATCACGGCCACTGTGACATCCACCATGTAACATGGCCGCTATGAAATCTCCAATGCATCACGGTCACTGTGACATGCACCATGTAACATGGCCGCTATGAAATCTCCAATGCATCACGGTCACTGTGACATGCACCATGTAACATGGCCGCTATGAAATCTCCAATGCATCACGGTCACTGTGACATCCACCATGCAACATGGCCGATATGAAATCTCCAATGCATCACGGTCACTGTGACATCCACCATGCAGCATGGCCGCTATGAAATCTCCAATGCATCACGGCCACTGTGACATCCACCATGCAACATGGCCGCTATGAAATCTCCAATGCATCACGGCCACTGTGACATCCACCATGCATCATGGCCGCTATGAAATCTCCAATGCATCACGTTCACTGTGACATCCACCATGCAACATGGCCGCTATGAAATCTCCAATGCATCACGGTCACTGTGACATCCACCATGCATCATGGCCATTGTGATGTTCCACCATTCACCATGGCCCTCTGTGACGTCCCTCATTACTGTCCTTACCTTGCGGTGATTTGCTGCAGATGGAGGCGTTGCCCTCTGAGGACAGCGCACTCCACGTGGTGCAAGATTCGCCCTTACTCCTCGCCTCTCCACCTCGGCTCATCTACACACACACAAAGACAAAGGTCCACCACGTAAACTTTAGCAAGATGTTGGGGAAAGCGCAGGAGGCGAGCACTGAGCCAGGATCTCTGAGATCCCGGGCTCCACAATCAGGAGGGTCCTGCCAAGATGTTGTGTCAGTTCTCAGCGTTGGGATATTTGGTCAATATCTGATGTCACACTTGGATTTACAATGAGACACGTGTGGCATCCTTCAAACTGATAAGAGAAGTGGGGCTGGGCCAGGACATGCCACGGCCAGGAGGAACAACGATGGCCGATGGTCAAGAAGAATAACGGAGCTGCAGCCAAGTATCGGAGCACGTTTGAGAGGACAGCTTCCAGAAAGATGGAGCGACAAAATCGGTGCTTGGTGGATTATGCCATTGCAGGATCATGAGGGGTAGCAGGAACTCAGGGAAGGAGGCCTTCATCCAGTAGTGGATAATAAAAGTACTGTAGATTATTCACGTGTAGACAGGCAGGTACACAGACAGGATCTCGGGGGAGATACTCTGATAGATGCACACACACTCAGGCAGGCAAGTAGATGTACACTCAGGTATATGGATAGGCGACAGGTAGCCTCACGCAGAGTGGAGAGCACACGTCCATCAATACTTCACCACACGAGTCGAAGAGCCACACGTACCTCCATGGTAGCAACTTGCAGAGCAGGGTGCAAAGATCTCACAGCGTCTCTCGCACAGTCCGGGTCTCTGCGTGCGGAGCAGGAGACGAAGGCGAGGATCACAAAGAGTCGAGAGGGCGTGAGGGCTCCCAGATCTCAACATGAGTCACAACGCGGGCTTACATCCTCACCATGAACCCACATTGTCAACACAGACTCACATCATCACCACTCACAACACGAAATACAAAAACAACAACAACCGACATTCGCCACTAAGTAGGGGTGATGACACCACGGCACCTGTGCCGGGCCAGGTGCACTTTTAGTCCACGTGAAGTGTCGAAGGCTGACAAGACGTCACGGGATAGACCCAGGTTCCAAAGGTTGGCTGAGATGACTGGTAGATACACCAGCTGTATCCCCAACTGTGCCAACTTGTTGAATTTTATCCGCTACTCGTTGTGAGCGTCACTCCTCTGTCCTCAGTTGTTGTTGGAAGGCGACTGCCTCCTACTGCCCGGTAGGATCCTTCACGAGCTTCCTCGTGAAGGATGCTATCCACACCACTGATACCAGTCTTCTGCAAGTCCACTCAGCTCCACATCCTCCCATACAGCATCAGTCCATATTTTGACAGCCCATGTCGTGCCCGTTTAGCCCCCTTTATGCAACCAAAATAAACTGCTTGGGTATGCGGTCTACAAGACCCAGCCAATGCAGCCTTGCCTGCCGGACGAACTTACTGGTGGGAATGTCTCCAGATCTTTCAAGCATTTGTGAGCCCCTCACACAATCCAGCCTGGTTAAACCCAGGATGGATCGTACAATCAACAACACCACCATCACCAACAATACCACCAACACCACCACCACCACCACCAACAAGACTATCACCACCATCAACACCATAACCAAAAACATCACCAATACCACCCCCATCAACATCACCTCCATCAACACCACTAACATCACCACAACCAACACCACCACCAAGACCACCAACACGACCACCAATAACACCACAATCAACAACACCACCATCAACACCACGAACACCAACAATACCACCACCATCAACACCACCAACACCAACACCACCACCAAGACCACCAACACAACAACCACCAACACCACAATCAACAACACCACCATCAACACCACCATCAACATCACCAACACCACCACCAACACCACCACCAACACCATCACAAACACACCAACACGACCACCACAACCACCAACAACACCACCATCACAAACAACACCACCAAGACCACCACCAACAACACCACCAACTCCACCAATACCACCACCATCAACACCACCAATACCACCACCATCAACACCAACAACACCACCACCACTAACAACAAAGATAAAGATCCCCCTTATAGCTGAAATAGACTGTTGGGGCAAGTGCTGTTAGCCAGCAGTACCTATGAAGGGCAGAACGGCACACGAGGGGGTGGGTGGCCAGCACCACGCCCGGCCGCCTTTGTGTTTACACACACACAGACTCACACACACACAGACTCACACACACACAGACTCACACACACAGACTCACACCAGACTCACACACAGACTCACACACACGCAGACTCACACACACACAGACTCACACACACACAGACTCACACACACACACCAGACTCACACACACAGACTCACACACACGCAGACTCACACACACGCAGACTCACACACACGCAGACTCACACACACGCAGACTCACACACACGCAGACTCACACACACACAGACTCACACACACACACAGACTCACACACAGACTCACACACACACAGGCTTACACACACACAGACTCACACACACACAGACTCACACACACACAGACTCACACACACACAGACTCACACACACACAGATTCACACACACACAGACTCACACACACACAGACTCACACACACACAGACACACACACACACAGACTCACACACACACAGACTCACACACACACAGACTCACACACACACAGACTCACACACACACAGACTCTCACACACACAGACTCACACACACACAGACTCACACACACACACAGACTCACACACACACAGACTCACACCATTTCTCACCTTCGCCAGATGCTCCCCCCGACTCTCTAACGGACAAACTGCCTGAGGGAGACACGAGGGGGCGGTACCAAGTGACCACGCCCACTATGACGTCGCAGACCTAAGCCCCTCCCCCCCCCCACCGGAGCCCCTCCCCCCCATGCCCAACCCCTGGCCCCGCCCCTTCACCCCCCTCGCCCCGCCCCTCCCCCCGCTGCTACTTCCGCTGAGGCCGGGGCGAGTGGAGGCGGCGCTGTGCATTGTGGGTGGCGAGCGGACGGTTTGGATTCCCGCTCGCGGCCACCGTCGGCGGCTCGCTGGCTGGGCCTCCTCTAGGTCGACTCAGCCCGAACAAGGCGAGCACCTTGCACGCTGTGGACGCAGCAGCAGCAGCAGTGGCGGTGGTGGGGGGGGCAGAGGAGGCGCCTGCTGAGTTCACGGCCCTGCTGCTGATGCTGATGATGAGGAGAGGCACTGCCAGATTGTGGCTGATGGGATGAGTTACATTTAGTTGTTTGTGTCTCTGGAGGGGCGGATTTGTTGTCGTGGCAGAAATGGCCTCGACTAGATGCCGCGATGTGGAGTGTTTGGTCTACTCTTCCACGCTGGGCGTGCCCGCACTTTACCCCGATACACACGCGGGGCGTGAGCTCACTGGGCTTGCAATGCAGAGGTGCAGGTTCGAGTCCATTTCACACTCAGCCACTCGGCCACTCAGTCACTCATTAACTCACCTACTCAGCCACTCACCCACTCAGCCACTCACCCACTCAGCCACTCACTCACCCACCCACTCAGCCAGCCACTCAGCCACTCACTCACCCACAGAGGGATACAGACCATTTATGCAGTGGTATTGTAGTATCTGCGTCAATGTTTTTGTTGTTTGGTTGTGGTGGTGGTTGTGGTGGTTGTGGTGGTTGTGGTGGTTATGGTGGTTGTGGTGGTGGTTATGGTGGTGGTTATGGTGGTAGTTATGGTGGTGGTGGTTGTGATGGTGGTGGTGGTTGTGGTGGTGGTTATGGTGGTGGTTGTGGTGGTAGTTATGGTGGTGGTGGTTGTGATGGTGGTGGTGGTTGTGATGATCATGGCTTTAGTTTTGGTTGTATAGGTGGTTGTAGTGGTGGTGGAGGTTACAGGTGTGGTGTAGATGGTTATGTTGGTTGTCATGGTAGTTGTGGCTCTGGTTGTGGTGCTTGTGGTGGTTTAGGTTGTGGTTATAATTGTGGTTGTGTAATTTGTGGTTATATGTGCGGCTGTGGTGTTTGGTTATATTTGTTATAATTGTGTAGGTTGTGGTTGTAGTGGACATAGTTGTGGTGGAGGTGGTTATGATGGTTGTTATGGTAGTTGTATTATTTTGAACTTCAATCGCACCCTACCCAGCCGACCGTGCTAATTGGAGGTATGATTATCGTTGCGGTTATTTTATGGTTTTGGTTTTAGTTGTGGTGGTGATTGTGGTTGGTGCAGGTGCTGGGATGAAGGATGCGTTCCGTGTCCTCTGCCCATGCGGCTCCAAAAACGATTGCTCCAACCAGCACTGCCGCCCCTGTGGTCACATGACCTTGCCTCCCAGCATACCTTGCAGTCGTCATTGATTCTGGGCCATCTTTACCTCCTGCATCTCTATAGGAGCTCTCGCTTCCTCCACACACTCTCCTCCTACCTCTGCTCTCTCTCCCCGTGTCTCCATCCCCTCTCTTCTTTCTGGATGGGCCATGTTCAGGGGTCAGGAGTTGACTGGCTGCACTCTGACCTTTGACCTTGGCTGTCACCCGAGTGGGATTATCTAATAGCAGTCAACCCATAGTATCAGGATCTGTCCCGTGACCTCCTGCTGCACCTAGCCTGGCACAGCAGTAAACCCATGGCACCTGGGTCTGTCCCATGACCTCCTCCTCCTGCACCTAGTATGGCACAGCACTCAACCCATGGCACCTGGTTTGTTGTGATGACATTACCGCCACGTAGTGGCGAATGGCGGCCATTGTCGTTGTGAGTTTGTGGGCTTGTGAGTAATGGTGATTGCGTGTGTGACTATCATGTCGTGTCTGTGAGTTGGATGGTAGGGGTGTGTTTATGAGGGTGAGTGTATGTGGATGTGTGAGTATCATGGTGAGTATGTGAGTGATGGTATGTGACAGTGTGAGTTTGATGGTGATTGTATCATGGTGAGTGCAAGCAATACTGAGCTTGACTTATTTCCCCCCCTCCCTTTACCCACTCTTCCTCCCTTTCCCTGTCTCCCCCCACTCTCCCCCACCCACTCTACCTCCCGCTCCTTCCCTGCCTCTCTATCTCTCTTCTTTCTCCCATAACTACCTCGCCTGTTATACAGGTCGTGGGTTCGATCCCTACCCTCACACCTGTATATTTCGAGTTTGCATGTCTCTCTCTCTCCCCGTGGTCGCGTTCAGAGTGTTTGGTTTCTATAAATGTCGACGTGATGATAGGCCACTTCGTTGACCTATCATTTGTGGCATTTTCCCTTCTGAAGAAGAGCTGTGTCGCTCGATGGGCATTACCTGGAAAAATTGAAATAGTTTAGTTTCCTCTTTTCCTCCTCCCTTCCTCCCTCTCCACACCCCCTCCCCCCCAGCACAACAACAAGAAGCAGGAGGAGGATGGTTTGTCTCCCAAGCCGAGCACTTCCGGGTCCACCTTCATGATCCTCCCTCTGCCCCGGGGGTGGGGGCGGGGAGATCCCCTCGCACAGGGTTACGGTACCCCACCCACATACACACGGGCTTACGGTGCCCCCACTACACATACGCACAGGGGTACTGTACCCCCCACTCACATGCCAGGCTATGTGCACCGCACAGAGACCCAAAGACTCGCACATAGATGCATAGACTCACACAGACCCATTGACTCGCACAGAAACCAATTAACTCAAAAAAAGACCCGTCGAAACACGGACAATATACTTGCACAAAGACACATAGACTCACACAGACTCATCCACTCTTGCACCCACCCACTCAACGACTCGCAGGCTTACGCGCTCACCCAATCCCTCACATACTCACTCAGCCGCTCACTCAGAAACTCACTCAAGAACTTGCTCACCCATTTACCCACCCACTTGCTCACCCACTCGTGCATCCACTCACAGAATCACTCGTAAACTCACCCACTCACACCTCAGAAACTGACTCACAAAATAATTCATCCACTCACTCGTGCACTCACTCGCCCACTTACCCATGCGTGCACAGATTCACCCACTTACTTACTCGGTCACAGACTCCCTCTCTGATAGACTCACTCATAGACTCACTCGCTCACAGACTCAATCACTCACAGACTCACTAAAGCTCTCACCCATTAACTTATTCAGAAACTCACTCAACCACCGACCCACTTACTTAAAAACTACCTCACTTATCCGCACCCATTCACTGACCTACTTACTCATCCACTCGCTCAGCCACTCACTGACCAACTCACTCACTCACAAACTCAGTCGCTCACTCATCCACTCACTCCGAAACTCATTCATCCACCCACCGACTCACTCGCAACCATTAACTCATCCACTCAATAATTTCATTCATTCACTCATCCACTCACTCAACCATTCACTCATTCAACAACCCACTCACTCACCCACTCACTTGGAGACTCTCTCTCACCCACTCACCTACTCGCCCAGTCTATTAGCCACTCATTCAGAAACTCACTTACCTACTCACTCACCCACACAATCGATCAATCACTCACTCACCCACTCACTCATCCACTCTTCTACTCACTTAAGAACCCACTCCCTCAACCACCAACTCAGAATATCACTCCTCCACTCACTCACCCATTTACTCACCCACTCGCTCACCCACTCATTCAACAACTCACTCACTCATCCACTCGCTCACCCACTCGCTCACCCACTCGCTCACCCACTCGCTCACCCACTCGCTCACCCACTCGCTCACCCACTCGCTCACCCACTCGCTCACCCACTCGCTCACCCACTCGCTCACCCACTCGCTCACCCACTCGCTCACCCACTCGCTCACCCACTCGCTCACCCACTCGCTCACCCACTCGCTCACCCACTCACTCACAGACTGACTCAGAAACTCACTCAGGCAAGCATTCACTCACTGACTCACTCACCCATTCATTTAACCATTCACTCACAGACTCACTCAGACTCACTCACAGACGCACGAAGAAGCTCACTAACCCACTAACCGATTCAGAAATTCAGTCAACCACCAAACCACCTACTCAAAAACTCCTTTACCTCATCCGCCCTCACTCACTAACCTATCTACTCATTTACTCAATCAGCCACGCTTACTCACTAACTCGCTCACTCATGCACTCAGAAAATCACTCATTCACTCACTTAGAAACTCCTACAATCACTGATCCACTCGCTCAAAAACTCACTCATCTACTCTCTCGCTCACTTTCTTATTTACTCACCCACTCCCTCATCAATTCACTCATTTCCCCACTCATTCCTTCAGTCACTCACTCATTCAGCAACTCGGTCAATCATTATCTAATTCAATCACTCACCCATTCACTCGGAGACTCACTCGCTCACTCATCCTCCACTCATTCACCCACTAACCCACTCAGATACTCACTCAGCTACTCACTCACCACTCATTCACCCACTCATCCACTCATTGAATAAATCACCTACTCACCCACTTTCTCAGCCACTCAATCAGAAACTCACTCACCCGCTTACACTTGGGAGTGGGTGGTTTTAGAGTTCAGTGTTCATCATTGGGACTCCCATAGGGTTCAGTGTTGCTCACTGGGTCTCCCATAGGGTTGAGTGTTAATCAATGGGTCTCCCATAGAGTTAAGTGTGACTCACTTGGGCTCTCATCGGGTTCAGTGTTAATCACTGGGTCTCCCATCGGGTTCAGTGTTAATCACTGGGCCACCCATAGGGTTGAGTGTTAATTTCTGGGTCTCCCATAGGGTTCAGTGTTACTCACTGGGTCTCCCATAGGGTTGAGTGTTAATCACTGGGTCTCCCATAGGGTTGAGTGTTAATCACTGGGTCTCCCATAGGGTTGAGTGTTAATCACTGGGTCTCCCATAGGGTTCAGTGTTACTCACTGGGGCTCTCATAGGGTTCGTTGTTAATAAGTTTTCGTGACTGCAAGGGTACATATTCTTTGGTTTTTTCGGTAAAGTCACGTAGGTTACAAAATAAAATAAAAAATAAATTAAATCTCAACGTTTCGGAGGCAACACAAGCTTCCGTCTTCAGGTGGCACCGTCACAGCAGTAATTTTGCTGTGCCACCTGAAGACGGAAGCTTGTGTTGCCTCCGAAACGTCGTGATTTCGTTGTTAATCACTGGGGCTCCCATAGGGTTGAGTGTTACTCACTGGGGCTCCCATAGGGTTCAGTGTTAATCACAGACCCATAGATTCCTAAAACCCTAACCCTATAAACACGTAAGCCTCTACCCCTAACCCTCAAAACCCCTATACTCTGAAAACTATGACCCTCTAATCCCCTTCACCCTTAACACCCTAACCTTTTAATCCCCTTAACCCTTAAACCCCTCACCCACTAAACCCCTATGCCTCTAAATCCAACCCCCTAACCCTTTGAACCCCTAACTTTCTCCAATCCCATTATAAAGGTTTTTTTGCAGTAAGATCGTGTAAATATAAATGTGTCTTAAAACCCGTCACCACCCGACACAGCCAATTAATAAAGTTTGTCACGTGAACAAAAAGTGCCAATTAGTTTCTATTTTAGCACATCGGTGTGTTGGAGACTAACCCAAATACACCTTTATTATGAATAACCCCTCAACCCCATAACTCCCCCTGTGCCACCCCCCATGTCCTCCCTCACCCCCCTCACCCCCCCCCAGCTGCTACTTCCGTTGAGGCCGGGGCGAGTGGAGGCGGCGCTGTGCATTGTGGGTGGCGAGAGGCTGATTTGGATTCCCGCTCACGGCCACCGTCGGTGGCTCGTGGCGGCTCGCTGGCTGGGCCTCCTCTACGTCGACTCAGCCAGAAGAAGGTGAGAACCAAGCACGGTGTGGACACATCAGCAGTGGCGGTGGTGGGGGGGAGACAAAGGAGGCACCTGGCCCACAGGTGCCTCCTTTGTCTCCCTCCTCTCTCTCCCCGTGTCTCCCTCCTCTCTCTCCCCGTGTCTCCCTCCTCTCTCTCCCCGTGTCTCCCTCCTCTCTCCCCGTGTCTCCCCCTCTCTCTCTCCCGTGTCTCACTCCTATCTTTCCCCGTGTCTCCCTCCTCTATCTCCCCGTGGCTCCCTCCTCTCCCCGTGTCTCACTCCTCTCTCTCCCCGTGTCTCCCTCCTCCCTCTCCCCGTGTCTCACTTCTCTCTATCCCTGTGTCTCCCTCCTCTCTCTCCCCGTGTCTCCCTCCTCTCTCTCCCCGTGTCTCCCTCCTCTCTCTCCCCGTGTCTCCCTCCTCTCTCTCCCCGTGTCTCCCTCCTCTCTCTCCCCGTGTCTCCCTCCTCTCTCTCCCCGTGTCTCCCTCCTCTCTCTCCCCGTGTCTCCCTCCTCTCTCTCCCCGTGTCTCCCTCCTCTCTCTCCCCGTGTCTCCCTCCTCTCTCTCCCCGTGTCTCCCTCTTCTCTCTCCCCGTGTCTCCCTCCTTTCTCTCCCCGTGTCTCCATGTCCCCTTCTCTCTAGGTGGTGCAGGTTCAGGAGTTTACTGGCTGCACTCCGACCTTTGGCCTTGGCTGTCGCCCAAGTGGGATTGTCGCACAGCAGTCAACCCATAGCATCAGTATCTGTCCCATGACCTCCTCCTGCACCTAGCCTGGCACAGCAGTCAACCCATGTCACCTGGGTCTGTCCCGTGTCCTCCTCCTGCACCTAGTATGGCACAGCAGTCAACCCATGGCACCTGGTTTGTTGTGATGACATTACCGCCACGTAGTGGCGAATGGCGGCCATTGTCGTTGTGAGTTTGTGGGCTTGTGAGTAATGGTGATTGAGTGTGTGACTATCATGTCGTGTCTGTGAGTTGGATGGTAGGGGTGTGTTTATGAGGGTGAGTGTATGTGGATGTGTGAGTATCATGGTGAGTATGTGAGTGATGGTATGTGACAGTGTGAGTTTGATGGTGATTGTATCATGGTGAGTGCAAGCAATACTGAGCTTGACTTATTTCCCCCCCTCCCTTTACCCACTCTTCCTCCCTTTCCCTGTCTCCCCCCACTCTCCCCCACCCACTCTACCTCCCGCTCCTTCCCTGCCTCTCTATCTCTCTTCTTTCTCCCGTAACTACCTCGCCTGTTATACAGGTCGTGGGTTCGATCCCTACCCTCACACCTGTATATTTCGAGTTTGCATGTCTCTCTCTCTCCCCGTGGTCGCGTTCAGAGTGTTTGGTTTCTATAAATGTCGTCGTGATGATAGGCCACTTCGTTGACCTATCATTTGTGGCATTTTCCCTTCTGAAGAAGAGCTGTGTCGCTCGATGGGCATTACCTGGAAAAATTGAAATAGTTTAGTTTCCTCTTTTCCTCCTCCCTTCCTCCCTCTCCACACCCCCTCCCCCCCAGCACAACAACAAGAAGCAGGAGGAGGATGGTTTGTCTCCCAAGCCGAGCACTTCCGGGTCCACCTTCATGATCCTCCCTCTGCCCCGGGGGTGGGGGCAGGGAGATCCCCTCGCACAGGGTTACGGTACCCCACCCACATACACACGGGGTTACGGTGCCCCCGCCACACATACGCACAGGGGTACTGTACCCCCCACTCACATGCCAGGCTATGTGCACCACACAGAGACCCAAAGACTCGCACATAGATGCATAGACTCACACAGACCCATTGACTCGCACAGAAACCAATTAACTCAAAAAAGACCCGTCGAAACACGGACAATATACTTGCACAAAGACACATAGACTCACACAGACTCATCCACTCTTGCACCCACCCACTCAACGACTCGCAGGCTTACGCGCTCACCCAATCCCTCACATACTCACTCAGCCGCTCACTCAGAAACTCACTCAAGAACTTGCTCACCCATTTACCCACCCACTTGCTCACCCACTCGTGCATCCACTCACAGAATCACTCGTAAACTCACCCACTCACACCTCAGAAACTGACTCACAAAATAATTCATCCACTCACTCGTGCACTCACTCGCCCACTTACCCATGCGTGCACAGATTCACCCACTTACTTACTCGGTCACAGACTCCCTCTCTGATAGACTCACTCATAGACTCACTCGCTCACAGACTCAATCACTCACAGACTCACTCAAGCTCTCACCCATTAACTTATTCAGAAACTCACTCAACCACCGACCCACTTACTTAAAAACTACCTCACTTATCCGCACCCATTCACTGACCTACTTACTCATCCACTCGCTCAGCCACTCACTGACCAACTCACTCACTCACAAACTCAGTCGCTCACTCATCCACTCACTCCGAAACTCATTCATCCACCCACCGACTCACTCGCAACCATTAACTCATCCACTCAATAATTTCATTCATTCACTCATCCACTCACTCAACCATTCACTCATTCAACAACCCACTCACTCACCCACTCACTTGGAGACTCTCTCTCACCCACTCACCTACTCGCCCAGTCTATTAGCCACTCATTCAGAAACTCACTTACCTACTCACTCACCCACACAATCGATCAATCACTCACTCACCCACTCACTCATCCACTCTTCTACTCACTTAAGAACCCACTCCCTCAACCACCAACTCAGAATATCACTCCTCCACTCACTCACCCATTTACTCACCCACTCGCTCACCCACTCATTCAACAACTCACTCACTCATCCACTCGCTCACCCACTCGCTCACCCACTCGCTCACCCACTCGCTCACCCACTCGCTCACCCACTCGCTCACGCCCC